AGCAATGCTTTTTCAATTGCCAGTGTCTCTCAGCACAGTAAAATGCTGACTCAGTGATCTAGAAGTTGGGAATTTATGTATCAGACCAAGGGTTTGAGGTTTGATTCACCTTTCTGAGGTCTTGGAGGAACATTACTGAAGAGCCCATTCTAAGACAAATACGCCTACTAGTGTTTTTAGGTTTTCAATGGTCGTTTAACATTGACAAATTCATGAATTCTCTGCACTGTCGGTTTCAGTGCAAATCCACACATTAAAAGAGCACACCAGTATAAATACTGACTGTACTCCTTATTCAAGACAAAGGTTGTATCAAAACCATTATTTCTACTACAAGAAATTTTCTGATTTGATTATTCTTAATCAGGACACAGAGCACTTGTACTGTTCACAAATGCTCTTAAACACCGTTGCTGTTATCTATTTTGATTAAACTTATCAAGATGTCATTCTACTGAAATATTCTTCACTGCTATTACCCTAATTTCTCTCGGCTGAGTTTAGAACAGGTTTTGTCCACACAGGTTACCATACAAATTTCTGATGCGATACCCTTCGATACTAATAATCTAGCCACTCTATAATTTTTTTATCGTCTATAACTCTCGTCATTTTTCAGTATTTTAAATTTTTCTTTCTTCGTACTGCGACCGACCAACAAACTTCCAGTGACAACTATTGATTCTGGACACTGCTAGCCTGAAACGAACGCACTAGGATTATAACTTACTAAGTAACTCACTAAAGTCAGTGACAAGACCAAAGCTTATTGAAACTATGACGGAATAATAAAAAACAATCTCGACAAACCTGGTTTGTTTGTATTGGGCACTGAATTTAAACTAACAATGTTGTCATGACAACGCAATTCCGAGCGTTTTTTCTTTGTTCAACTAGATTTTAGTGGGATGGTATGAAAAGCTGTCTTAATACTTATTATTTTAACTTATTGGTTGGTACAGGAAGTGTAATAGGTAAAGTGAGAGGTAACTACTGGTGGTGTCAAGCAACTCAGACTACTTTTGACCAAAAAGTGTCGATTAGTTAATCAATAATCTAACTAGTTAATTTGATGCGTACCTGTGATTGAGTAGTTTTTGGTGAATTAGAATTCGTGAGGTTTTTCCTTTGTTCGTAAATCATCGGTTTCTTGTCGTGAAGTGAAAATTCCATCAATGTACGGTTCGTCACCAGGTTTTAAACCTACTGTGCTCTAGGGAATAAGGTTCTGATTCAGTGACCAATCAGTACTGCCAGTAAGTTAGGGTTGAAGCACTCAGCCTCTAAAGTCAATGAGTGGCCTCCCTGATTTCGTTTATGCTGTATGCCCTTTTTCAGAGATATGAATCGTCCTCAAAGTAAGGGCTTCCAGCCTTCATGAAAAGGTAGTCAATACAATTTTTAACGAGCATCATTTTGAATGTCAATACTTTTTCAAAGTCTTTTATGGAGAACAAAAGTCTGGGATGTAGTTTTGACACCACAATTTATTCAGCTCCAATCAATGATGAGCTGGGATCATCTTCAGGAATATTTTTTATAACCTGTAGATGTCATCACTCTCAAATTTTTGTCATAAGGGACACAGTTTCCTTGTTAGGTATTAAAATATTTTTGGCGGGTGAGTAATGTGTTGAGACCAAGTAGCTCATTTGTCACCATAGACTTATTGTAACTATTGGTTAGACTTCGGTTTATAAAGCTCCAGCGGTTCTCACCAAGATGCATTCAGTCTTTGCTCCCCGTTAAATCTATAACCTATCATTTATGCTGAAAGCATTTTCATCCCAGGGATTTGTATTCTCTTAAATAATCATTACCTTTATGCATCATTTTTTCTACGGCTATTTTTACCACTTACTCAACTCTGGCATATTATTGTGCTGAGGTGGTCTTAAAACTCAAACCACTGTGCATACGTCCCATGTTCTACATTACGAAGGGCTAAATAACTGACTTACCATAATTTCGCGCCACCAGAGTACAGAAAGATCATAGATTACATAATACCGGGTGGGTGGTTGGTGAAAAGAACGAAAAACAATGGATGCTGTACTGCATCCTGAGTCACCTTACCAGTTTCCAAAAAGAGATGTCTGTATCTATCCATGATTTATGTTGTCCATCAACTTTGGCCTCCTTGCTAACTTATACAGATTTTTAACTTCTCACGTTTTGAGAGAGATATTGAGCAAGGAGCCCTTTTTAACAATTTATTGAAATGAAAACTAATTAAATTTGTTTATTTTATAGTTTACTTAATCCTCACTCAGGTTCTTCTTGCTGGTAGAACCTGTGTTGTGTAAAAAAACCTGTTTCTCATACTGTGTTTCACATTATTGAACGACACTTGGTTTTGAAACTAGTTATTCTCGCAACCTTTGCAGTGATGTTCGCAGGGTTATCTGTTTCCAAAACGATAAATATTGTCAGTATACTAAGTTCTTACATGCCCTCGTAATTGTGTTTTGTGTGCATTTGTTACTGCGATATATTTTTTGAAGCAGCTTATTGATTCAGGATTTCATCGGGGAGCTCTCACCCGACTATTTTGTACCCGTAACAGTTTTCATGTGATAACAATAAGGAAGCCTAAATTACAGACGATTGGTTCTACAGTTGATCTGAGGAAGCTTAACCAGCTAACAGGTTTAAAACATGGGTTCTAAAGTGCTTCACAGCCTGATTTATGCTGTTATTTAGCAATATAATAACAAGAGACTAGTGCCAAAATGCAGCAAATAAATAAACAGACAACATATGGATTAATTGTTTCAGTGTTTATGTATACAGTTTAAACTAAGTTCAGTCGTTAGAAAAGCTTAACTTTCGAACTGACATTCCAGTGACCATTCTATCATAATGGTGTTTGGCGTACCCTGCAGTCCGCATATATGAAAAATCCTATACATTTTAGTCTTTTGTCTACTGCTGATTAGAGAGGGCTTTTGCTCATAAAGTTAAATCCCAAACCTGTAAGTTTATTCCATGCTATTCGACAGGTGGTGCAGATGTGTAAAATGTCCAGTTAGCGTATAAGATCACTCTTACAAAGAATATATATTGGAAAGGTAAAAGGTAACGAGCAGATGCAAAGAAAGTGACTGAGACCTGAATGATCATATGCTTTGGGGAACGGTCAAAGTGTGTCTTTGTTAAGAGAAATTCTGTCTGCAAAAGTAACGTCTGAAGTTTAAAGTATTCAGTCATTTTTATTTAGGGGAAACCATATCCGTCTATTCACTGACTAAAAATCGTCAAAGTTTAATATCGCCAGAATCATATCAGTTTAGTTAAAGCCATGAGTGCTTCATGTATAGCTAAGGCTCCGGTAATTCTTTTATTTGAGCTTTGTCTCCTTGTTTGAAATGAATATATTTATTTACCTAATTTATCACAGTATTAAAATTTCTTCTGAACTTTAGAAGTAGTTAATTTTATTGGTTAAATACGTTTTTTTCATATTCGTTGCATAAACAACTATCTATGACACTACTATCATGAACTTTATTATCTTGATGTTTGTTACTGTGTTTAACACTGTAAAATTTAGAGAGGGCTTAAGTGACCAGTATTTGGTACTAAGACCACAAATGTGATAACGTTTAGTAAGTAAAAAGCTGTTGATACGAGTCATGACTCCGGAGATAATTCAGAACCGTATATTTAGATACTACTTTTCACATAGTTTGTGCAAATTAGAATTAAAAATCAGACTTGTGTAGTTTATTCAAGTATCATTTAACATCAGTTAACCAATAACTTACTAAGCGAACACATATTTGCGATGGCGTACTGATCGATTCTCACGCTAACTGATTTTAGCTGTTTTTAACCTGTTATATCACCTCCCATTACCTTTAAGATTGTTGTCTGGCTCATATTCGACGCTTTGTTAATGATCTGACACATTTTTATTTGCATCATAAAATACTAACAGTAAAAGCAATTATAAAGGTTTGATAAATAACCTAGTTGAAAAGGAAACTTCTCTTTACAGAACTCTTTTTCTTGTTATGTGTTTAAAAGGCATACAACTATTTACGGGACGAGAGTGATTTGTTTTATCTCACCAATTTTGGTTGATCTAGGTTCGTAATCAATAAGAAAATAATATGAACGACTATATATTTTTCTATATATACTCAGAAGAAATAATATCCCAGGAGAAGAAATATTTGGATTAAATTTCATTATTTCTTACTGGGTAGTCACTGCACAACATTTTTTTCCGCTTAAAAATGAGTAAAATAATTCGACTATCCTATATATCTACGGTATTTCTGATCATATCTTATGTGTGTGTGCATGGTCATTCATAGTTTAGAAAGCTTTCGTATACACTCATAAAATTTTTTTATCTTGATTTTAATTTGAATAAAATTTTGTAGTTTTCTTTTCTTTTTCTTGCCTATCATAAGTTAACATACGAAAATTTCATAAATTCTGATGCTAATTTCAACTGTCAGTATATTTTTTTAAATCTGAAAATAATCTCTAAATAAATAACTGTAATGGCCTTAGAAACTCAATTTTAACCGACGGTATGGTTGTGAAAAACCTTGTTTTTAAATCATTGAAAGAATTTCCACCCATCTTAAAATATGATCTAGAGATCAGCCATCATCATGTTTGAAATATTTCAAATGAAATTTTGGAATATGATTTATTTATATGATATTAATTTATTTTTCAGATAAAATAGTTTCGGAAAAAAATTAACGAGAAAAGAACAGTTTATGTGATCATTTTGCACTGTTCAGGATCATTGAATGCATTATGCAAAACATCAATAACGTGATTTTATGAAGACTACAGAAATTATTGGAAACAATTCAAACTACCGTCATTAGATCACCTTTTGTATTGATCGCATTCGTTTTTGTGTCAATACAATTTCGGGTGGAAAGTTTATTTCAAATAATCCATTGAGTTGTTTTGTCATTGACATACAAGTTGCACAGAAGTCAACTAATCATTGATTTGCCTCACTGATTAAAATGAATAATGATACTTTTGTTGACGCTTTAAAGGGGACGTATGAAATTGATAAAATCAGGCAGGTATGAACAAATTAACTAAATTAACTTAACTTAATTATAACATTTTAGGCAATGAAAGTACTCGATAAATTTCCATCGATCCCACCAAAATGGTTTGTAGATAGTGTGGAAGCCAGAAATATTGGTATTGATCTGTTGAATGATATTTACAAACTTTCAAGAAGAAAACGCATAAATAGTAGTTCAAAGTTAAAAGGTAAAGGAGCTTTGAAATCAAGTAACAACAATGGTGTTGAGTCGAAAACCACTGTGATTCGATCACCTTATATTCAAGAAGAAGATAAGTCTACGTATTGGATTCCGATTGATGTTTTCAAAACTGTTGCACAAAATCAAATGAAAGCTCTTGAGAAATCAAGTGACTAGATTTCAAGATTTATTTTTTTTTTTCACTTTCAGATTGTGATCATTGTTTGTAGTTACTGACATTCTAATTTTATAGCTTTCTCTAAAGACAAGCCAAAATGATATATTTATACCCCATTGATTAAAATTCATATGATTATTGCTTTAACATGTTATCACGATGAAAGAGTTTTAGTTGCATGTAATTTTTTATCTTCCATGTAATGAAGATTCTTCAGAAGGTTAATTAATATCTAATATTTCAAATTATCTTACGAACAGGAAAGCGTTATCATGGAGTTATTATGACTATGTAATTTAACTATTAGTTAGAATGATTAAATATATATAAAAAATTGGGTTATTGATGAGGAACTGTAACTTATCTTTTTGGCGGCATGAAATGTTGACGTACTAGCTGACCAAAAGTGTTAAATTACACGTTCTGGTCTATAGACAATGATTGAAACTTGTAACTCAGTGATTTTAAGTTGAGAATCCAAATCAGTGAGAAAATCATGACTGCTAAAGTACTTTCGTCAACGTTCACGTTGGGTTGTTCATTCTGTAAAAATCTTGATTTTGCCCTCATATTACGATAAATGAACTAAACTACTTACTGTTTGGGATAGGTTTTGTCTCTAAATTGGAATTTGTTTTTCAGGATTGGATTAGAGCAAGTTAAGAGTAGTGACTACTTGATTTGTTTTAAAAATCTCAACAGTCATGATAGATTGGTAACTGACGAGATATCGGTATTGACAGCAAAATCTTTTCTCAGTTCTGTCAACTTTGATCACCGGCTGATCAGTTAGAATGTGTTGTTAGAAATTACTTTACTGCTTTATATTACAACTTGTGGGCGTAGGGGACACGGAAAAGGTTTTCATTCACAAATATCTCCAAAAACTGCTTAAGCACAATGAAATAATAAGATGAGTATCAATGAGATTAACTACACGATTTTAGACCGAAATGACAAGTAGAGCGATGGCATTTTAGATCTCTAGGTATTGTAGTGATTAAAATAAGTTCATGAAGCCATGGATTGTTGATTTGAAATTTGTGGAGACATGTTGATGATTTGAACGCTACCTGAATACAAAAGTGATGTAGACACTCTCATAAGTTATCTTCCTCAAAATTAAGAATTAAATGTTTTCGGTCATATTCGTTTCTTTCCAACTACATCTCTGAATATTTAGCTGCACTGAGCATTTATTCTCTTCATCGCCATAATTTGTAATTTTGTAAATTATATACAAGTTTGTGTATTTGTTAGGTTTGGAAACATGGAGTGCAACACATTCTTATTATATTTTCGTCATTCTTCTGAGTCAACCTGATGTTCTCGTTCTTTGATGTGATATTGACTAACGGATGTTCAAATCTTTTAAGATTATGAAGCAGCCTTACTAGAGCGTATAAACCGGTAGAAAATCAACGCTTTGAGCTTCTTAGTAACTGTCTACGGCCACCTGACATTAGATGAATTCTTAGGATTTTGTCATCACTCAGGACTGGACAATAGGGCATTAGTTACCACTGAATAATCAGTTGGTACATATATATTTTCCATTTGTAATTAATACTTTATCCAGCAAGATTTCAAAATCTATTAATAACTCTCTTGTCTCCACGATCAACTCTTCTTTCATTACTTTGCCGCCCCGCACCACAGTCGAGCGTGTCGACCTCTTCACTGATCTTCCAAGTCTCATCAGTGTTAATGGCCTGGAGTGCGACAAAATCTCAGAACGGATACAGAAGGCTCGACTGGACTTTGCCAACCTGAGTCACTTACGGAGTAGAAGAGATATGGGCCTACCAATCAAAGGACGAGTCTACTGCGTAGCAGTTCGCTCCATCCGACTAGATGCGAGTGAAACTTGGCCAGTAAGAGTGAAGGATATTCGTAGGTTATTGGTATTCGATCATCGATGTCTTCGAAGCATTGCTCATATATATCCTGCGACCATCGAGTAGGTAATGCTGTTGTTAGGAAAAGGGTATTAGGTAAGGATGGCGAAAATTCATCAGTTTAGATGGTTGGGACATGTGTTACGAATGCCTAACCACCGACTGCCTCGATGAGCGATGATGTCTGGTGTAAGGACAAACTGGAAGAAAGCTAGGAGCGGCCAAACCTAAATATGACACAAAGCGATGAAGCTACTGACAACTGGACTGAGCTATGTCAGCAGGTGTAGACTATCTGGTTGGGATCTGCAAGACGAAGGTGAGTGATGGTTAGAGATGTTGAATGACATAACTCAAAACCGTTTGCCATGGCTCAGGTGCATCCACTCTTTGTGTTCTCTCACGAGCTCAGGCCCTTTTCTTATCTCTTCTTAAATTTATTTTACTGGGTTTTGCTTCTTGAATAATATCTTCGAACCCTAATCTCTCTGCTCTGTGCTAATACTTTTACTACCCCTACCACTATAGGATTTGAAGTGACCATTGCGCCTCTGCGCTAATGTGGCATGGCAACTTGAAATGATGTACGTACGTACGTACGAAGTTCTACGTTGTAGATGACTAACTGACTAACTTGTATTGGGTTAGGGTTAGGGGGGATACTCATCTTTCTCCAAGAGGTTCTAGAAGTAATAAAAATAAATGTCCCTCATAAGAATGGAGACTACATCGTTCAATACAGCTATCAGAAATTTTAGCGATGAGTCGATGACTTCGTAGTTATTTTTTTTTATGATGAACGAATAGTCATTAATTCATAATAACTTAAACTATTATAAATTGATATAATCGTTTGTCACATTTCCCTTTTCTTGCTTACTGAAAACTTACCAAGAACTTTTATTACTTTCTTCTAGAAGGAAAATTGACAGCTTATCCATTCTTGAAAATCTTACCAGCATCAAATTATGTAGATCTAATGATTACGGTAGTTACATTTTGCACTTTTATGTATTTGAGTGGGTTATTATTTCATAATTTCTTAATATTCAGTTGTTAAATGATGGATTGAATTGATGTAATCTCAAATATTTATCTCTCACCTGGTACAATTTCTTGTAATTCCGATCAACTTGCGTTTTTATGCACAGATATTCGTACATCGGGCTGAACGTTGTTACAAAAATATTTTATGAAGATCACTCGTCCTAGATTGTAATTAAATGTTTTGATATATTCGTTTACGGTTTGACAATTCTACTGTAATTTTCTATAATAGTTTGTATCGTTTTAAACTCCAACATTTTATTGGTCTTGTAAAGTTTTCAAATATTTCATTGCAATCAATCATCGTTATTACATCTGTCTAGTGAATATTCTTTGATACATTCTCTTTCAGGGAATTGATATGTTAATTGTAGATTCAGCTTTACAGTATACCTCTTCATCATTTGCCTGTATTCAACTTGGTCGACGTGTAGAACGTGCTTGTACCGTATATCGTCAAGAAAAAGCAGGATATTTTAAGCAGGTAACACAGTATTTTCTTTCTGTTAATGTGCTATTTTTATTTTACTGGATGTTACTAAATAATGAACCGTTGATTATCATCTCCTGATGTAATTGTTTGAGGTCTACTATGTATTCATTATTTAAAATCTTCAGATATGTTTGTTCTTTTCTCCTTTGATATCTTAATTTTCAATGTTATATTTTATAATTTATTCCTCATTATCATTTCTCCTTCTTAAACTATATTCTTCACATGTTTGTAGACCTTTTTCACTATCATAGTCCCTACTATTACTTAATCTTATACATAAATATCTTTTCTTGACTACACAGCTTTCTTCTCTGTAGAGTCGTAGCCTGAATCTTATATATTGTGTTCAAAGTTGTAACTGATAATTTCAATCATTCAAATTTCTCTCCTGAATGAAATAAAAAATGCTGTCAATTCATGAGGACAGTTTTATATATGCTTTACACGGCCGATATTGTTTTCTGAGATTTCTTCAGTCTGTGGAAATTTGTCAACACATAAGAACAACATTGTCATTTGATTACACAGATTAACTATCTTCGTATTTAATCACTTAAAAAACTGAGGATTTAAACAAAACTTCTATACTGGTCATGTAGTAAAATCTTGATGAATTTATACCTGTAATAAAAATTGTTTGAAACAATCCCTTCAATGAGTACAATCTTTTTTTTCTTCAACCTCATATTTTCTTTCTAGTTAGAAAAAATCTACATGACATATGCTAATTTGTTTAATGAACATGAAATGAAGCTGTCTAATTTCCGTCATATGTGGTTATATGCTCTACAGTCACATATAGATAAAGGTCCAAATACGGTTAGTCTTATGTTTGATTTTGTATTTAAGTTTTCCTTATTTAAATTTTTTTCAACATAACTTTCAGTATTTCAGTATGTGCTTGTTAATTAATCGTAATCATGGTTTCTTGATAATTCAGGGATATGAAATAGTAGTTTATGTACTCCTTATTTATTTCTCGCGGTTGATATTAAATTTTTTTACTTAGAATCCACTGTCCGCTTACCAGAAAATGCAGCTTGTTTTGTGAATGTTATTGCACTTTAATTTCTTTTGAAACTTGATTTTAGACGGGAATATTGATCTCCTTTTGTGTTTTACCTTCCTTGAAGCTTGACTACAAGAACTGTATTAATTATTTGAATTAATTAAGTTGTAAACAAACGCTAAACATGACAAGAGTTTTTATTCACCACAATGAGCAAATATATTGTGGCATTTAGAAAAATTTGTCGATCAAGTGTTTAAAAACTATTAACGTAGTGATTTTTGACTTGCTCTGAGCCACTTTATTACCCAACTGCCTGTAAAATCTTATTCCTTTTGTCTTAACATTTATATTCTTCATCAACAACAAAGTAGAACATAAACTTTTCTGATTTCATTTGAATTCACTACATAATAGCATGAAAATTTATTGCTCCCTGTAATGTCTAGTTTCTTTTGTTTGATTTTGTTTAATGGTCAACAGCATAATTCAACATCGTGGCCTCCAACAATTCTTTTCATGATTGGTGAGGTATTGTACAGTCTTATATATGAACATTTACGTTTCGATTTGAATGGTCCACTTAGAGTTCGTCATGAATTCTCAAAACGTGATCAAAAAACAGGTAGTACTATTCGTCGTCAAGATACTCCAGCTATTTTTGAAGTTCTCACGGAATTTCCAACAGAAGTAACTAATGAGATCAAGGCGAGTCTTTGATTTTAATAATAAATTCTATTGTTACAGAATCTAAAGCATTCATTGTGTTTTTTAACTGAAATAAAATTACAATCCAACTCACAGCCAACTCACAAATGATTTATATTTGCTTACACTACTCCCTGTGTTTTGAATGACTTTACTGTAGCGTTTACATACGGTTTTCGACAGCTCCAACATAAATTAATCGTGAAATGAATGACAAAAGAAAGCCATTACGTCGTTGAAGAAAAATACAGACAATTCAGCTAAAAAGGCTTTCTTTTCGACAATGTCACTGGAGCTGTAAACTTGTATTTAAAATTAATGTTATCAAATGGTAGTCTGATAAAAATAAAGGAAAACACTATATTTCGACCAGCAATCAACAGTTTCTGTCTATACAAAGGCTGTTTAGACGATACTCGTATCTCTCTGCTTTATCATAAGTCACTATTTGTAAAAGGTTATTAATCAATTTCGTTGCGTAGCTGAATTGTCTTAAATTTTTCTTCAGTAATATCAATACTAAAATTTTGGAATCATAAATTGATATTTGATTTGATACAATGTTAAGTTAATATTATGATATTAGCTACTATGCTATATATAACTGTCAAAGTTGCTCGTTACTGTTCTTACCTTCTGTTTCTAGGTTCATCCAACCTTGATTAATTGGTATCGAGATGCAGACTATCCACCTTTAAGTTTTCATCCATGTGCTCTACCAATGCTTTGTCCACCAGTTCCATGGATTAATCTTAATGATGCTGGTTATTTGATTTCAAGAAGTAATTGAAAACATCTACATCTTTTCCAATACATTATTTGTTATAAACTTTCTTATAACCTATATCATTTGATGAATGAAGATGTTCGACTATCTGCAGCGCACATATTGATTACATGTAGATATATGATAAAAAAAATAAGTGATTTGATATCTACTAACTTATCTTATCCCACGGAATGCTTTTTTTAAATAAATTTTTCATGAATGTAGTGATTTTGTATATGGTTGTGATTAAGACTCTAAATGATTTACTATTCATTTCTCTAATGATTAAGAGTTGTTTGCCATATCTGGCGATCCTCAGCAGGGTTATTACTATGTACATCTGAGGAGTCTTGTGTGTGGACGAAATAGCTATACAATTTTTCTTGATCTTTACTAATGGTAATAATACTTTTATTTAACATAAGGTGTGCAGTATTGAAATAAATTTTCATTTACTATGCCTTTAAATCACAACCATCCTAGAGATAACTTTAAAACTGGTTTTTATTAGTCAGTGTCTACCATCCAATAATCACCCAGTTCAGTCGCTACAATTATTTTCTTTTTCATCAAACAGTCAATTATAAAACAAGTAAATCTCAATGTATTCGTCTCTCATTTTTTTCAAAGATGAAAATATGCCAACAACTGTAATGTTTCTGTTTTACGCAAACAGTATTTACCATCATAATAAATTGTAAGCCTTTGTAAATGATAGAGCCTGTGTGAATGTAGTTAAAATGCATCATTCTTTATTTAATTTAAACAAATCTCAAACAGAAATGTTCATTGAAGTATTTGTACAATTCGAAAATAAATTGTCCAAATGTTTAAGTAGGCCACTTTAATAATGATATTCCAGCTTAGGTTAGTCCTACAACTTTATTTGTTACACATTTAGAAATATGATAAAATTAAACACATGTATTAGTTAAATCTAATCCTAAAATATTACTTCTTCTTATTTATTTTTTTTTTCCAAATTTCCAGATTATGCAACACGTCTGATTAGATGTACCAGTATTTCATCCACAAACCCAACTAATCTTGACGACTTGGATTTTGACTTTAAACAAATTCCATCAGTATTAGATGCTCTTAACTGTTTAGCTTCTTGTCCATGGAAGATTAATAACACTGTATGTTGAATAAAGTATTTTTTTTATGTGTAGTGCGAATTCTTGTACTATATATTTATATATATATTCTCATCATAAACTAACCGAATAACTGTATTCAATCGATTTTGATGAATTAACTATGCATCTTAATTTGATGCAGATAAACTAGTTTGTTATTTATTTGCAAGCGTTGTTCGTAGATCAAACAAGATATTTACAGCTATTGTTATACTTCATGATGTATTTCGTCTAAATCTTCAGGTGTAAAATGAAAGTAATGAGTAATTGCTTTTGTAGAATGAATTTATATTTCTAGTTCATGTCTTCTGTGAAACATTTTACTAATTTGAATCTTGTGTCAGTCTGTCAGTTTCAACTTAGAACTTAATACGTACGTACATCAGTTCAAGTTGTCATGCCACACTAGCACAGAGAGCTGAAATTGTCAGACCAAATCCCAAAGTAGTAGCATTATTAACGATAATGGGAAAAATTAGGGATCAAAGACAAAATTCGAGAAGATACAAACCAGTGAAATAAAATTTTCGGGAAGAAAAAACAGTCATGAGGAATTTTGTATTTTAGAATTTTGGATGCACTTGAGCCATTAAAGATGATTTTCATGCCACATCGTTCAAAATCTCTAGCTAATGGCTTCAGTAATCACACAAACCTCAACCAGGTAGTCATTTGAGTACATTTATTTATATAATAATTTAATCGATGTAATTACCAATTACAGAAATTGTCATGCTGAGAAAACTTTTGACAAAAGGTAATACTAATTAATATTATGCTGAACAAACAAGAAATTAAATTGGATGTTATTCTCTGTGAAAGTCACACTGAATTCATACAAAAATCCCATAAAAATCAATGCATCATCGTACAGTTGTTTTCTTCCTAATAGGTTGTATTTAGGGATTTAACATCCTCAAGAGTCTCCTAGTCAAAAATCCATTTCCATAATCACAGCGTAAAATGTGCTTGATCTTTTACTCTTAGAAAATATAAAACTCTTCAAGATTTTCAATTTCTTTTCATGTTATATAAATAATCAGCGAATTAACCAATCATAATTGTTCATGTTTAAATTTTATTGGATTTGAAGTGACGATTGCGTCTCTGTGGTATGGCAACCTGAACTGATGTACTTACGTACGAAGTTCTACATTGCAGCCGACTAACTCTGGCTGACAGTACTTCATTCTTCCACTAATCATGTGCTTGATACTCAAAGTCTTGTCTACTGTTACATTAAGAAAACATTATCAACAAAACAAATTTAAATTTTTCAAAATCAAATTCATTTTACTTTGTAGCTTTTCGTCAGCTACAATTAAACTTTAAAATCCTAACAAGTATTAGACTAATTCAATCACAGTATTTCAATTATAAAGAATAAACCAATAAACAGAAAATATGTCAGGGCCGTATGACTGGAAATTTTGAAAAAAATAACATATTTGCTTCTAATTGCTGTTTAATTTGCCCAAAATTTGTTGTCAAAACAATAGTCATTCATTTTTAATTAGTATGTGAATTAACATTCATTATGTTCCTCACATTCTAGTTACTAAATCCGATATTTTGTTAAATCATTGTCAGATTTTAGACTATCTTATTCATGTGGCACGTTCTGGTGGCAATGAAAATCTCAGTATTCCCAAATGGAGAAGTAAACCTAAACGCATAGATTTAAAAAAGTAAGTTTACAAAAATAATTAATCAATCATGTATTTTCATCCTTTCAATCAGTATATCACAAACACTTTATGCTACTTCATAATATTATCTCTGATACTTTTATTCTTTACTGAATTTATGAAATGTGAAAAGAATTAGTTGGGATTTTATACATTCTTACTTACATATTATTTGTCATCTTTAACATTTTGATGACTATTGTTCTCACTTTAACTAACTAGTAGTTGCATTTGTTGCAGTGACCGGTTTCATAAAAGTTACTATATAATCTTAGGATTATTTATAGTGGGAATAAACATACTTAAACATGTTAAATTTGTGCTTTGAAGTTTTTGTTTCTTAATATCTAAGATTACATGGCTATTGCTTCAACTTGAATCCCTTGAGTCCCTCAACATAATGATATTTTGTCTTCTCAAATTGTCTACACTTTTGTCTTGACGAACATTATTCAGCTACATAACCAAGTTGAGTCTTTTCTTTGACAACTTTTTAACACTATGGAGTCATTCTTGCAGACAAATATGTATTACTCACATTCTTTCTAGGTTTTCTGTGTTTTTATATAAATATTTTGTGTTTTCTGAATGCATGTACATGTAAATTGTAGTGATATGACCGCTAAAGAACGTCAACTCGCCTACAAAAAGTATCGTGATGATAGACAAGATTATGGTGAATTTTGTTCTCTATGGAGTACTGAACTGTATAGACTATCTATAGCCAATCAAGTATGCGAATTCGTTATAAAATTACATTTAATAATTCTGTATATTATATGCCTTGGATTTTTTGTTTTAATTTACATTTTCAATAAAATTTCTTATGTTCAACAGTTCTACTAACTGCATTGTCTATCAATAAACCTTATTTTACTCTCAAATTGAATTAAGTCATGTCTCTGTACACTATAAATAAATTATTATCGTAGAATCCGTACAATGGTTCTAAATACATCAACTGAGTTACATGTAGAAATTGCAAAATCAAGAAGAAAATTCATAAGAATATTTTATACCTTTTTAAGGTCGATCATATACTCTGTTTTAGTTTAGTATGAGTCTACACACATTTAAGCTACTGTCATTGATTCCATTGTCAGTTAGTAGTGTCGATTCACGTCGTACAATTAATGCATGCGTGTTAATAATTAATTGTTTTCATTCATAAATCTTTCCTTTCGATAGTATCGTGACAAAATTATTTGGTTTCCACATAGTATGGATTTTCGTGGTCGTGTATATCCTTGCCCTCCGCATTTCAATCATACCGGTATGTAATCTGTGTGTGCATTTTTTGGTTATGTAAATTTTTTTTAACTTTCCCCGTACTTCTTTTGTTACACACGTCCTCACGATGTGAGCTTAACAAAAGGCAGATAGTTTTCAATCTTATAACTATGTTAGCATACATTTGTTTGATATCATAAACCGACCCCAGGTGAATATTCCGCAATTCTTATGATGGATTCAACTGCAAAATCGTACACGGAGGTCAGCTGACAAACTCTTTCGAGGTGAAGACCGGTGTCAGGCAAGGTTGCTTTCTCTTTCTCCTGGTCATCGACTGGATTATGAAAACGTCAACATCTGGAGGGAAGCACGGTATCAACTGGACAGTTAGGACGCAGCTGGACGATCTGGACTTCGCAGATGACTTGGCTCTTCTATCGCACACTCAACAACAAATGCAAGAGGAGACGACCAGTGTAGCAGCAGCCTCTGCAGCAATAGGTCTCAACATACATAAAGGAAAAAGCAAAATTCTCCGATGCAACACAACATACACCAACCAAATCACTCTTGATGGAGATGCCTTGGAGGACGTTAACACCTTTACATATCTGGGCAGCATTATCGACGAGAAAGGTGGATCGGATGCAGATGTGAGGGCGCGGATTGGCAAAGCGAGGGCTGCATTTCTACAGTTGAAAAATATCTGGAAATCCAAACAACTTTCAAATAAAACCGAAATTAGGATTTTCAATACAAATGTAAAGACAGTTCTACTGTATGGAGCGGAGACATGGAGAACTACCAAAGCCATCATCCAGAAGATACAAGTATTTATGAACAGTTGTCTACGCAAAATACTTCGTATTCGTTGGCCAGACACGATCAGCAACAACGAACTGTGGGAGAAAACAAACCAGATTCCAGTGGAAGAGGAAATCAGGAAGAAGCAGTGGAAGTGGATAGGACACACATTACGGAAAGCACCTAACTGCGTCACGAGACAAGCCCTCACATGGAACCCTCAAGGCCGAGAAATAGAGAAAGATATGAGAGGAATGAACAAACATTGGACAGAACTGGAGAGGGAAGCCCAGGACAGACTTGGTTGGAGAAAACTGGTGGGCAGCCTATGCTCCATTGGGGGTAACAGGCGTAAGTAAGTAAGTAAGGTGAATATTCATTGAAAACCAGGAAGCACTGGACAACACAAAGCTCTAAACCAATAATTATCATTTCCTGACTGGTGACCAATTTCAAGAAGTAGCTCTACGTAACTAAAAAAGCTATAATCGATTTAGTGATTTTGGTGAAGTCGTCGTCTGAGAATTTCAAACGTGTTGGATACGAGATAGTTATCTACCAAAGATAATCAAACTTATTGGTACCGTTCGGTTGCGGCCCAGTAGTATATTGGTCGAGCATTCACGTGCAAAACTGAAGGCCCTGGGTTCGATCCCCTTTGGAGCTGCGTGTCTTCCTGACTAAGTAATCCCATAGCAAGAGAAAACAGCTATCCAATGCTTCCAGTTTTTTATTTGATGTTGAGCTTAATTCAATTCACGATATCAGTAGTATAATTGTATGATTGAAATCTAATTAAATGATAGTTGTTCAACCACTATATTTTCAACAACCGATTGAGAGATTTTTATAAATCGAGCAAAAAGTATCAGCGAATTGATAAGAAAATAATGATTTCGGTCTAATAAACTGCTCATATTTGCAAAGATAAATAGTAAACACTCTTGTTCCTTTTTCATCACCTAAAACTTAAATAAGAAGACAAATCTCTTGTTTCAGATCAGTAGTAGTTAGTAACATCAGTATCTTGTGTGTTTCTGTCCTACTTTTTCCCTGGTATTGAAATCAATGTAACTCATTTACCAAGTCTGTGTGTACATACTCGACTTGTGATACTCTCTGGCTTCTCGAATCATACTCAGTCAATAGTAAGTAATTCAGAATCTGTTACATGTGCATCTGTTCGGCACCATAACAGCATAGCGATATAAAATTATTTGAAGATAAATACCAAAGGATCATATATGCTAAAATTGTCAGTGGTAATAAAAAGATTAGGCATAAACAGTATGATTCAAAAATAAAGAGTATGAAAGATTGTAGACCTTACTATTAAAGGGAAAATAAAGAGTGAATGTGTCTGCGCCACTGTAATCATTTCTATGACGTATCACTGAACATTTTCAAACACTGACCAGGTATAGTAAACCTACCAAAACGGCTCAATCCAACACTTAGTGACCTCTTGCATTATTGCCACGTCTTGGTTTGACAGCCACTAGCTATTTTCCAACCTAATCCTACACCAGAGAAGTTAGGTGGATGAGCATATCTAGTAAATATCTCAACCACCACAGTCTATGAAGATTGATAACCCTTTTTGAATCTACTGGCCGAATTCACCTAGAAGTTTGTGTCTTACCTCAGCATTGTTTATCTAGTGGTCCCAACATAAATAACCAATGCCCAGATAGTTGTAACACGTAAATATCCTCCATTTTTTAAATTCAGAGGCACAAGGTAGAATAAAACCCGAATTATACTAGCTTGGATAGGGACCTATCGTTTGACCTACTGGCAGAGATAGATAATGGCTATCAATGGAATCCAGGACGCGCGTTTCGTCATATTTGGGACTTGTCAGCCGGATGTACTTGCACCTCAGAGTTATTTTCCACTCCCAAACTCGAACCCAGTACGTTGCGCTTTAGGTCCCATTACGTTATCCACCTAGCCACTGAGTCCGATGCTAGCCACTATCCACCTTTGCTAATAATGCTTGTAACCTGAAGGCGATATGGAGGCAATCGACACACAATGCACAAATGTCAAAGAGACTGACCAATAGCAGTCCAAGGAGATTCAAACAACCAACACTGGTCAACATCACTCGTTTCAATCAGTCAGTTACAACATGGAACTTCGTGCGTACGTACATCAGCTCAAGTTGCCATACCACATTAGCGCAGAGACGCGATTGTCACTTCAAATCCCATAGTAGGAGAGGTAGAAAAAGTATTGACAGTAATCGGAGAGATTAGGGTTTGAAGATATTATTCGAGAAGTACAGTCTAGTGAAATAAACCTGAAAAGAAAAAGATGATGTGATGAGGAATTAAAAAGTTTAGAATTTGAGGGAACAAAAAGAATGAATGCACCTGTGCCTTTGAGCCATGTCATTCAGGATATCTAACAATCGATTATTTTCATCTAGCGGGCCCCAACCAGGTAGTCGACAACTAGCGACATGACTCAGTCCACTTGTCAATTACTTCATGGATTTCTGCCATGTTTAGGTCTGGCCCCCACCCTAACTAGCGAAACAAACTTAAAAATAAAGAGATAACGGAATTCAGAAGGTTCAGTAGGTTCATCGATTTGTGCCATTCCAGCCAACCCTTACATTAGACATCATCGCTCGTCGAAGACACCGATGATCGAATACCAATAACCTACGAATATCCTTCACTCTTACTGGCCAATTTTCACTCGCATCTAGTCGAACGGAGCGAACTGCTCCGCAGTAGACTCGTCCTTTGATTGGTAGGCCCATATCTCTTCTACTCCGTAAAAGACCCAGGTTGGCAAAGTCCAGTCGAGCCTTTTGTATCCGTTCCCGAGATTTCGTCGCAGTCCAGACCATTAACACTGATGAGACTCGCGAGATAGGTAAAGCGGCTGATACGCTCACATATTTCACTCCCTATCACCGATGCAAGGCAATCCTAAAGCGTCAGTTATCATTTCAAAAGAGAGATTTTCATCCCGAACATGATGGCAAATCACTCGTTAAAATCATGTTGTAGTGCTTTGATTATTTAATACTTTAAACATAAGCTCTTCTATCTGTCTGATTTTTTCCTACACAAATAGATCTTTCTAAACTTCAGATTAGTGGTTTAGTATGTTTAAAAGTAAAAATTAACTAAATCACAACTAGAGCTATTAATTTACATGTTTAATTTCATATCTGTATTCTGATTACTTACTGAATAAAAGGAATTAGTTATTTCTGTACCACAATGGTAAATATCTATACATATATAACAGTTGATAATCAATTTTTTCTACTTCCAATAGCTACATCTAATTCTAAACCAATCTTATTCGTGATTAATCTTTGATAAAATATTATATGGTCAAATAGAACTTCATATATTTTTTATTTTTTTAAACTCTAATTCATTTAGGTAGTGATGTGGCTAGAAGTCTTATTGTATTTGCAAAAGGATTACCTCTTGGTCCTAATGGTTTTGATTGGCTTAAAATTCACTTAGTCAATTTAACAGGTTTGAAGAAAAGGTAAGTAACAATAGACTGTACTATCGACGGTGTATTACTATGTCATGAAATAACTTAGCAGTGTTACTCACTTTTCTTTGTTAGATGTACCCATTCAGAACGCTTAGAATACGCTAATTCTATCATGGATGATATTATTGACTCTGCTGAGAAACCATTCGATGTAAGTTTGTTTTACATCAAAACATTCTTATCCGTTGTCCTCTGTATTGATTAGTAATTTGTATCTTTTGAAACAGCTGAAATTATTTCTATCTAAATTAAATAAATTTTTTATAGTTTTTCATCGATCATTATTAAACCACCATTAGAAACCTGAAAGCACTAGACGGCCGTTTAATCCCATCAACAGTGCACATCCACGATCCCCGCTCCAGGACCTTTGATCTCTCACACAAACGTTCAACCTCTAGACCACTGAACCTACATCCAACAGTGTTAATGTCTGACTCTAATCAATCTAAAGTATCGCGCAACCTCTCCCACTGTCTTTCGTGGGTAACGACCTACACCTGACAAGGTTGAACTCCACCGGTCACGATTTCGCACTAGGAATCTGAGAATTTCCTCACGAAGCTAGTTACTAGTGAGCGCACTTTTCTGAAGTTCATTTATAGAGTTATGGAGATTGTTGTTTTTCACTGAAATCACGAATCGATCATTGTTAGACCACCATTAGAAATTTGGAAGCAGTGGACGACTTTATCGTACTTCAAAGATTATAGTCACAATCATCTGCCTGAGCTATAAATTTTCTCCACCATCTCAAAATCTCTCTTTATTTGATTACTTTCAAAACGCCTTAATTAACATAGTATATAAAATTACCCATAGCTTATTTATGATATTCTGTCAGTTAATGTTTAAGGTTTTGATTACTATTTCGATGATTGATCTTAATTTATTATTGTTTAATGTCTATCAGACATCATTGTATAAATCTTATTTTTGATTAGAATTTTATCTATTTAATTCCATACATTAAGTAGTAGATGACAAATCGCTTTCAACTATTCATCTTTGGTGACTTAACACTATAAATTTTTTATGACACTCAGCTATTACTTTTTGTAGTTGCCAGTAAAATGGTAAATTTTCATGAGGTTACTTATTATGATAAGAAATATTTGTTTGCTCTTTTCATTAAAACAATTTTGACATAAGCTGATTGACTAATCAGTCTGAATTTCTCAGTAGTAATCAAATTTACTTCATTGTATCTGGTAAAAAACTATGAAAGAAAACGGATAAAATTTCAGTAATATTTCACTGAAATTGATAGTTCAAACGATTTAAAAAAGGACATTTTTCAACTTTCAACTAAATTAGCATTCGAAAATGGTTAAAATCAATTCCAAATCTCTTCTAAAGATATTAAGAATACTTCATAGTTTGTCAATATTGAATCGTTTGTTTGCTTTAAAGTGGTCACAGTATCTTAAGTGCTACCTTCTAAAGCTAACCATATCTGTTGGAAAGTGTGTCAGAACAATGTTTCCATAGACAAATCTAGAGCTTTTCAGAATAACTCCCTCCCAAGTTTGTTATTACTTATTTCTAGCTAGGTGTGGTACCACTGCATGCATACTGAAGCAGTGCTAGTGCGTCTTCATTACTGAAGATAACCGATAAGTCACCTTTCCCCGCTGTTATTTTCCTAAATAACAAGAACTATTGAATTCAGTGACAAACAGTTCTTATACTAATGATCTCTTTGTCCACAATACTTTTATTTACATATTTAAATTATCAGACTACAACATACAACTATTTGCAAATAGATACATTAAACACTTAGGAACAGTAACCGAAAAACATGTGGGTCATCAACTGCGATGATTTCGCTATAACGCCAAACAATATACTTAATTAGGGAATCAAATGCATTGCTCTGGTTAGTGTTTTTAGTCAGTTGGTTTTCTACGGGGTTGGGTCGCTAGCCCCATGCTCGGCCCTCCTCCCTTAACCCGGGCTCGGACCGGCAGTAACCTCGGAAGAACTTCAGGCGTACATATGTATATTACTGTACGTACGAAGTTCTACGTCGTAGCTGACTGACTGATGTATATTACTCAAATTTAAAGAACTTCTGAATTTCCATAAGTCTCAGTTATAGTTCTCTGAAAGGTAGTTCTATTTCTCATTTGATACTATTCGGACTGTACTAAGATATTCGCTTCATTAGTTGTCTTGTCATTTGTACTATCCATTATTTCTTCATTTTTTTTATAGGGTAGAAGATGGTGGCAAGATCAAGAAGAGCCTTGGCAAGTTTTAGCCTGTTGTATTGAATTGAAAAATGCTTTGTCACATCCATCTGGACCAGAATCATATGTTTCTCATTTCCCTGTGCATCAAGATGGTTCTTGTAATGGATTACAACATTATGCAGCCTTAGGTCGTGATCTACGAGGCGCAAAATCAGTCAACCTTACTAGTATGGATTGTCCTCAAGATTTATACAGTGATGTTGTTGAGATCGTAAGTTTTTATTAATCGTTTTGTATAATTGTATTTTATCTAGAGATGTTATGTTTAATGCATGTTTTAACTTGATCCTCTCTTTAAACATCCATTCTTGCCTTTTATCAGGTGGAAAAACAAAGGCGTATCGATGCTGATAACGGGAACGCTATTGCTAAAATGCTTGAAGGTTTTGTTCGGCGTAAAGTTATCAAACAGTCTATTATGACTACAGTTTATGGTGTTACTCCATATGGAGCTACGGAACAAATTCGTAAACAACTTCGTGATCTACATGATTTCCCTAAAGATTCTTTACTGCCTGCTTCTAGATATTTGGCTCGTCTAACACTAAACAGTATCGGAAAAGTCTTTACATCTTCAGTTGATATTCAAAATTGGCTTTGCGAGGTAATCATCTGGTTAATTAATGTCTCATTATTCTTATTGTAACAGTTTATTTCTCATTTGAATTAATCATAATGCTGAATTCACCACCTTTGCTAGCGATTTTTTATACAATGCTTTCGAATCTCTATATCAATCTTTAGAAACAAGTATTTACTAGGCTAAAACAAGTTATTTAATTAATCTTACGTAAAATTTTCTCACTATCAACCACATACTTAATAAACTTCACCATTAAATTAACATTCTTTATAAAGTATCTCCCTGAACGTTCCTTGATTTACTTGCAAACCTTTCGATTCTCTCAGTTAAAATTCTGCAATGTCAACTGTTAAGTCACTGGTACTAGCATTATAAAAACAAGTCACGTCTATATAGAACATACATATTTAGTGAAATTGTTTATGCACTATGTACACCTAGTTTTCAATCATCCATTTTCATCTGTCGTGTTATGCAATCAAAACTGGCTATAGACTGTCTTATCCATCTCTCGTTATGCTTGTTTCCCCTAGTGAAGCCTAGGCCGCCGACCAGCATTCTCCAACTTACTCTATCCTGGGTTTTTTTATCTGTCTGTCTCCGTTTCCCAGCGTAATGTGTTTTTTAGTCTTCCTTTGGCCTTGAAGGCTTGCCTCATTATGCAACTGGGTGATTCCCCCAAAGTTTGTTCTATCCACTTCCAGTGCTTCTTCTTGATTTCCTCCTTAGATGCAATCTGGTTTGTTCTCTCCCACAGTAGGTCGTTTCTGATGGTGTCTGACCAACGGATCCGAAGTATTTTGCGTAGACAACTGTTAATAAAAACCTGTATATTATGGATGATTGCTTTCGTAGTTCTCCAAGTTTCCTCCATACATTAGAACCGTCTTGACGTTTGTATTGGAAATTGTGACTTTGATGTTGGTTGATGATTGTTTTGAGTTCCAGTTGTTCTTCAATTGAAGAAATGCCGCCCTTGCTTTGCCAATCCGTGCCTTCACATCTGCATCAGATCCACCTTGCTCATCAATGGTGCTGCCCCGATATGTACAGGTTTCTACGTTCTCCAAAGCTTCTTCGTTAAATGTGATTTCGTTAGTGCATGTTGTGTTTTATCGAAGGATCTTGCTTTTTCCCTTGTGTATATTGCGACCTACTGCTGCTAGTGCTTCTCGTAAGATTTTGGTATCTTCATAATCAACCTTTCTTGACACCGGCCTTCACCTTACACGAGTCTGTGTGCTATCATCCGTGCACGGTTTTGCACTTTAGTCTATAATAAGAATTCCGTATGATGTTGACTGTCTTCTTAGGCAAGCCAAAGTGCTAAAGAAGCCTATAGTGTTTCATTTTGTCCACACTGTCAAATCTATTCTCATAGTCAATGAAGTTGGTGTAGAGTGGTGAGTTCCATTCAGTTGATTGTTCCGCAATGATCGGTAATGTTGTAGTTTGATCGGTACGCGATCTATCCTTACAAAATCCAACTTGTTGATCTCGAAGTTGGGCTTCAACGAAGTCCGTAATTCTGTTAAACAATACCTTGTTGAAGACTTTTGCCGGTATTGAGGGAAGAGTGATGCCTCTGTAGTTCTCACCCTCGCTGAGATCGTCTTTTTCGGTATCATAATGAGGTATCCTTTTTTCCAGTTCTTGTTTTTCATCTCAAATCTTGCTGAAGATAATGTGGATCATCTTTGCAGTTACTCTTGTGTCTGCAGTCAGTGCCTCAGCTGAAACGTTGTCTGGTCGTGTTGCTTTGTTGATCTTGGTTTTTCTGATGGCCGTGCTGATCTCTTCAATTTTTGATGGGCCAAGATTGATTGAGAGATCCTCGGATGCCGTTTCGATATTGGGTGGGTTCAGTGGGGCTGACCGATTCAAGAGTTCCCTAAAGCGCTCTACCCACCTGTTTCGCTGTTCTTTAGCGTTGCTGAATACTTTGTCTTCCTTGAGCCTTGGCTTTCTCCGCTCTTGTTTGTTTGATGTTGATTGCTGCCTTCTTGTTCTTCCTTTCGTGAATTTTATCCAGTGTCTCAACAGAGATGCATTGTCCAGTGCTTCCTGAGTTTCAGTTTCATCTTGGCAACCAGCAAGTTATGGTCTGAAGCTATATCAACTCCTCTCTTAGTTCTCACGTCCTCCATTGTCCTTCTGAACTTTTTATTGATGCAGAAATGGTCTACTTGGTTCTGTATAGTGTGATCTGGTGAAATCCATGTTGCTTTGTGTACGCGTTTGTGTGGGAATATGGTGCCACTAATGACCAGTTTGTTGAAGGCATATCGGTTTGCACATCTCACTGTTTCCGTTCCTTTCTTCCAGTCCATATCGTCCCATGATTTCTTCATATCCAGTGTTTTCCATTCCAACCTTGGAATTTAAGTCTTTTATAAGAATGGTCAAATCCTTTGTTGGGCATTTCTTGACGATCGACTGCAACCTCCCGTAAAATTCATCTTTAACGTCTTCATTGTAATCCCTTCTTTCTTTGTTTTGAAGGATACTTTGATGTTGCTGGGTCCATGAGATTTCCATCCTATCAGTGCTTTTTTTACTTTGTTATACTTTATTTCTTGAACTGTATAAAGGTAGACAGTTGTGTGAAATTAATCAGACAGCTAAACAAAATACCTTATGATCAACTTGGAATCCAGATATAATTGGTAGTCGGTTGCGTAAAACTTAAAATCAGTAATTTAAAGCTGTTTAATGATGATCTAGCAGTGTTTCATGTTTTCTAAATAAGTGGTATGTGAAATTCTGTTTCTAATCTAATTTGATATTTTTAATTTTTCTCTTAGATTGCTAAATACATATCTGGAGATTTACAATGTAGAGTTAGCTGGCAAACTCCTCTCGGTTTACCAGTCATCCAACCGTATATGCAGTCAAATAAAGGTTATTCCTCTGAACCTGATGATTATACAGCTAACCTTTATGGTCAAATCAACTACAATAATCAGGCACAAATAAACATATTAAAGAATGATAAAAATAGTAACAATTTAATATCATTGCCAAAATCATCTAAACAAACAAGTGCTTTCCCACCGAATTTTATTCACTCATTAGATTCATGTCATATGATGTTAACAAGTTTGCAATGCTTAAAAGAAGGCATTGTATTCGCCTCTGTACATGATTGTTTTTGGACTCATGCAGCTACTGTAGATAAAATGAATCGAGTAAGAACTTTGATTTACATTGGTTATTGGTATTCTTTGTGTTTTTTTATCCATTTATTCGTTAACGGTCTCGTATCTTTCTTAGGATATTTCGTAAATAAGCAACACTGTAAAATTGACCTCTTGTTTAGACTGTTTTGAGAAGTATATCTCACTTGTCCAGCTACTACGTTAGTCAGTCAGTCAGTTGCAACGTAGAACATCGTACGTATGTACATAAGTTCATGTTGCCATACCACATCACCACAGAGACGCAAATGTCAAATCAAATCTCATAGTGATAAAGATAGTAGAGGTATTAATCGTAATGAAGAAGACTAGGGTTCGAAAATATTATTCAAGAAGTATAATTCAGTGAGATAAACTTAGAAAGACAAAGGTAGAGGTGCTGACGAATCCAGAAGATTAAGATTTGAGAGAGCTCAAGGAGTGGATGCACCTGCGCCACTGCAAACGATTTTGAGCCATGTCGTTCAAGGTCTCTAACCATTGATGACTTTCGTCTCGCGGACCCCAACCAGGTAGCCTACATCTACCAACACGACTCAGTCCACTTGTCAGTGACTTTATGGATTTGTGCCATGTTTTGGTCAGGCCGCCCCTAACTTTCTTCCAACCTATTCCTACACCACAAAACAAAGCTCGTCGAGGCAGTCGGTGGTTAGCCATACGTAACACATGTCCCAACCACCTCAACTGATGAAGTTTCACCACTTCATCTATTGATCTGCCATCCTTACCTAGTACTCGTTTCCTAACGACAGCATTGTTTACTCGGTTGTCCCACAATATACGAGCAATGCTTCTTAAACATCTATGATCGAAGAATAGTAACCTACGAATATCTTCTACTCTTAACGGCCATGTTTCGCAGCCGTATAAGAGAACGGAACGAACTGCTGCGCAGTACACCCGCCCTTTGGTTAGCGAACGGATATCACGCCTACGCCATAAATGACGCAGGTTGGCAAAAGCCAATCGAGCCTTCTGAATCCGAGCTGAGATTTCGTCAGTCACCCGGCCATCAACACTGATGAGACTCCCCAGATAAGTGAAGTGATCAACACGCTCGACTACTTCACTCCCTATCACTAGTTCAGGTGCCAATGCAACCCAGTCTTGAAGCAACATTTTGCATTTGGAGGGGGAAAACCGCATCCCGAACATGCTTGCATTGTTGCTTAGGGTGGTCAGAAGACTCTGCATTTTGTCAGCGTTTTCACCAAGTAGGACTATGTCATCGGCATATTCTAGATCAGTAAGCGACTTTCCTGGTAGAAGGTCAACCCCTGAAAAATCTGACGAGCTTAATGTTAACTCTAAAAGGATGTCTATTATAAAATTAAACGAGAATGGGGAGAGTGGACAGCCCTGATGGACACCACTTGAAGTGTAGAATTTCGGTGACAGTTCGCCATAAGCTCTCACTCGACTAGTGGTGTTTGAGTAGAGAGCTTGTATGAGGTTAATGTACTTCTTTGGTACACCTTTCAATGACAGACACTGCCACAGAACCTCACGATCCACTGAATCAAATGCCACTTTAAGTCCAGGAACACGACTATTGTCGGACGTCTAAATGTGTGTCTGTGTTCCAGGACCTGTCGTAGTGTGAAGATGTGGTCTATACAACCACGTCCAGGTCGAAAATCAGACTGGTTTTCTCGAGTCTGCTCTTCACGAGCTCTAGTTAGACGTCTAAGTATAATCGAGGCTAACAATTTAGAAACTATATTAGTTAGACTTATTCCCGTGATTGTCACAAGAGGACTTTTGTCCTTTCTTGTAGATTGGGACAATTAGCGACTGAGACCAGTCAGATGGAATTACGTCCAGTTCCCAGATTCTACCTAGGGTCTCGGTCAGTCTAACTGTTAAAACTTGACCACCATCCTTAAGCATCTCAGGGGTAAGCCTATCAGGACCTGCTGCTCTACATCACTTCAGATTTCCTAAAGCTTTCCCAACTTCATGTAAACTGGGAGGACTTAAATCGATTTGCCATTCAGGATGACTGGAGATCGTGGGCAACCGAAGTGTAGCTCGAGGCCGGTTGGACTGATCCCTAAAGTGTTCTGCCCATCGGTCCAGCCTCCTAGATTGAGAATGGATAATAAGACCATCCTTTTCCGAGATAGTCTCACTCACATTCGGGTTCCTAATAACAGTTTCTTTAATAAGGCGGAAGAGTTGTTTAGTGTTGCCTATCGCCGCTGCCTTTTCCATCGCTTTTGCTTTCGCCACCCACCACTGTTCACGGTCGTTACGTAGGCTTTTTATAAGTCTGCGCCTAAGCTGACTACGCTCTTCATCATGTTCAGAGTCAGGTGGGATGCGTTTATCGAGCATCCATCAGATCGGTGGATGCGACTGAAATCCACGGCTTCATTCTAGCCTTGTGGTTTACCTTGCTAGCAGATACCATTGCTGTTTCCACAGCCTTCTTGATATCATTCCAACCTGATTCAGGATGGGAATCACTTGCATGGCCGCCTAACTGTTTTTCTAGTTCCTCCTGAAATATTTTCTTAGCTTGATTATCATCAAGTAAAGCCCTAAGAGGCCTACTTACGGTGTCTTTCCTACGTCCAGCAAGCCTCAAACAAATACGTGCTCGCACTAGGGCATGATCTGAATCTAAACATGTGCCCCAGAACGAGCGACAGTCCTCTATCGAACCCCTCCATCGGTGGCTGATGGCGATATGATCTAGTTGTGTCCAACGTTGAGACGACTTCGGGGGTCGCCAGGTCAAAGGGTGTTTTTCCTTATGCTTAAAATTAGTGTTTGCTAGAAATAGTTGGTTATCTGTGCACAGTTGCAACAGACGGTCGCCATTGTCTGTTCTTTGAGCCGTGAGACCGTAACATCCACCTAGGCGTCTTTCATTTTCACTTAGTCTACCTACTTGTGCATTGAAGTCATCAGCCATTATAACTATATCAGAGCGCTTAACTTTTTGGAGAAGGTCCGAAAGCTTTCTGTAAAACTCATCTTTTACATCATCTGGGCTGCAGTCAGTGGGGGCGTAGGCTGATATGACGAAGAGGCAACGGCGAGTGTCCCTATCTTTCCGAGTCCTTACTGTCCCGTTGAGTCGGACGGCGCACAAGCGACTATCTACAGGGATCCAGTCAAGGAGAGATTGTTCTGCCCTACGACTCAATGCTATACCTACACCGGCGAGGCCCCTGGAAGCACGAAGAGTAAATCGAGCTGCTTCTTTATCTTGACATGGTGAGGTCAAATGAGTGATGCTACTCGGATCCTGTATGCGCGTTTCCGAGACGCAGCACACATCGATGGAACGAGATTCTAAAGTCTTAGCTAATGATGCCTGTTGCCCTATTTGACACCATGTCTGTACATTGAATGCTCCAACGTGTAGTTTGGAACGGGGTTTAAGGAGACCAGGAACGACGTTTCGCGAACTCGCATCGTTTGCATTAGCTGTGCACTGTGATAAATGAATGAAAGAAGAGTTAGTCGTCGAGATAAGAGAGGTATTAGGGGGTGTAGGAAGGATTTGATTTTGACCAATTTGGTCTCGTGTGCTGTTGCAGGTATGAGGGCGGTTATCACTTCCCGGCTGCCCACACCGTGGAAGATTGTTTCTTGAGGGACCTGAAAAGGAAGATAGATTAGTGTTGGTCTTGGAGACCTGGTTGCGTGACCGCAGAGTCCAAGGGACAACTGCTTGGGGCCCGGTCACGCACGGCCTTTTTAGAATGTTAGCTCCGCTCTTGAAAGCCCTTAGTGGGCACCCATACCGCCGGAGACGGAAATCCGTGAGTCAGGGTGAGGTGTGACATTTTTAGGGTCGACCTTTTCTAACCCTTCCTTCCTTGTGAGAAGGCAGCATCGTTGCAGATGCTGGTTGTCCGACAGAAACACCTTACTGCTGTCACACCCCTCTGCAGTCAGCAGTACGACTTCGCCCTCAGACCTTGAGTAGCTGCTTTTAGTCTCATCGTTCTCCAATCGACCTGCCTGGCATGGTAGGACCTGCAGCAACATATGTTCCAGCCAGTATAGCTCGGTTGGGTCATCACGATAGGCAAGCCCGACCACCACATCAAGGTAGCAGCTTCGGTCGGGAGCTACTACGTTAACAGTTCACTTAATGTGTAATTTGATTAGGCTTCATAGACGTGCAATATTTCGTAGACTTGTAAATACGTGATATAGTAGTGTTTATTGCACAGGTTCTTATTCTACCTTTTCTTGATGATAATGGTATTTATAAAGTGTTGTTACTCGAATATTTTGCGTACTCACACAGTTTTTTTTTCTAAAACTTCATAGTCCAAAAGAAAACAATTTAATTACCAGTTTATTCACTTGTAAAAATTAACACTTTATTGATGATGATGATACTGATAATGAGAATGGGAACTGTTAGTTAGAGGTTAAAAATGAAACAATCACTAATTACATGATAAATACAAACATTTGAGAAACTGAAACTTCTTCTTTTGAAGTATATATGACGTTACGTTACTTTAGTTGAAAGGTGTTTTGTTCAAAGATTTGTACAAAACAAAAAATAAAAACGTTTCGGAATTTCAGTTTACTTTAGAAGAAACTAAGAGTCTGCTGTCATTTTTAATCGAATCGCTTGTTAAATTAATTTTTTTTCTAAACAACTCAATATGATAAAATAAAATAACTTACAATAATTACTTTCTGTCTTCTATCAGGAAAATAATAATTAATCTCATTTTCAAACTCATTCAGTTAATTGAGTAGTAAATCTTTTGAAATAAATATAAAAATTCGAAAAGTCACACTTTTGTTTGGTGCATTATACTTAAACTGCATTCTGCTTAAACATTTATCCCTCAGTCAAAACTAATAAAGATCTTTCATCTGCAATTAAATTACTCAAAGTTTTTATTGTATTCTGTTTCCTCAGAAGTTGTACCTCTCTGCTTTAATGTTTTAGACAGAAAGTATAGTCTTTTTAGATGGAAATTTCGAAAATATATAATCTTTTGAATAGCTTAATTAACAATTCAAAATAGGATGTCACTGTACTTACAAATCACACTGTCTGCATACTTTTGTACAACATCAGTAGATATTCAAACCGATCATTTAGTAAATTCAACTTCGAAAAATCTCCACCATTAGCTCTTTAATTTAATATCTGATTATCTTTCTATTATTTTACTAATTTAAATAAATATTGTAATTGCAACATCCTCATAATTTAACTTTTTTTTATACTGCTTTATTCATAGATATGCCGTGAAGAATTTATTGCTCTTCACAGTCAATCAATACTAGGCGATTTTGCTGACTATATAAAACAAAGATTTGCATATACAGACAAGTAAGTTAATCCTCTTATCTTACCTCATTCGATTCCAATGCAGTTTTCATACTTTCAGATGTTGAAGCGATTCAAAAGGATCACTCTTACCTAAAAAAATTTGTTAATGTTGTATAGAATGTCAGAGGAAATTTCTCGAATAAACCATCCAACTCATAGAACGAAACCCTATCGAAAATAGACAGATAGACAGATACAACGCAGAACTTCGTACGTAAGTGCATCAGTTCAGGTTGCCATACCACGTCAGCACAGAAACGTAACTATCAGTTCAAATCCAAGAGTGATAGTGATAGTAGAAGTACTAGCAGTAATGGAGAAGATTAGGGAGCGAAGATATGATTCGAGAAGTATAATTCAGTAAGATAAATTCAGAAGGAGAAAGCTAGAGATTATGAGGAATTCAGAAGGTTAGAATTAGAGAGAACACAAAGAGTGGATGCACCTGCGCCATTGCAAACGATTCTGAGCCATGTCGTTCAAGGTCTCTAACCATTGGTGACTTTCGTCTTGCGGACCCCCTATCGAGAATGATTGTCATGTAATAAATTTTAACAACAATCAAGTTTTACGTTGAAACAATTTTTCATCAATCACTCTTAACTCGTCGGCGGATCGTTTTCAATACTACTACAGTAATAAATCAGTTCATAAAAAAAATGATAATTATAATGTTCAAACTTACTTAGTACTAACTCACTTAGTACTAACTTTGGTCTTGAACATAAATATATTAAATATTGAAGAAAGATGAAAATCAACTGAACACCTAGATCTTCAGTCAGTCATAGTTCCATTTGCTCACAATCCTCTCGATTAAATTAACGCATAAGTATAACGGTAGTCAAAAACATCAAATTTAGTTTATTTACTAAGTAAACTCATTGTTTATATCAAATTTTAATTGATTTTCCTACATATTCTTTCTAATTTTTGTTTCTTGATCTTATTGACATTTCAAGTTGTACGATAGTAATTATCGAAACCTTATTTTTCCTATACTCTTCAATTTTAATTCATGGGAATTTTCAAAAACCATTCAGTCAGATACCATTATTTGATCCTTGACATGAGAATTCATAATAAAGATACTCATATCACTCATAATAATTTTCATTAACGATGGACTAGCGTAGTGAAAGCTGTTGTTTATATTTGTTTCACAAAACGAAATTGATTTGTACTTCCTTTCTCTTTTTACACTTAAATCAGGATTTTGAAGCACAACTAAATTAAAATAAATAAAAAAGCAACCGTTGTGACTGCATTTTAGCCAGGTTACTTAGATGTGAATGAGTTTAGTGCATGACCGAACCATCTAGAATAAGTAATCACAGGAGAAAATACAGGTAGAAATATCGATTAGCAGTGAAAAATCTGTGATTGGCTGCATCTAAAATCAACTTTTTTCACCCAAAAAAATTTCAGTACTCATAATAACTTAAGATTTCCACTTCAAGACACATTTCATCTTATTTTAAAATACGTAACGCAGATTAGTAATTTTATTTATAATGTATCTGGGTTTTTTTTCATTCTAGACAGATTAATGAGTTTAAAAATGTGAAGAAGCGAGATCAAGCATTGGCTTTCAATCGTTTACTTTTGAATCTCCCTAAAACAGGTCGGTTTTTAGTTGTGTATTTTATTTTTTGTTGCATTTATTCATTGAACTAGTTATGTCACTATTGTTATACAAAACATTGCAAATGACTTATAGTTTCAAGCAAACGTAGTTGGTATTCAAGAGTTTTTCCGTGCTCTTAGGAAAATATATGTGCGGTACAGTTCACCACTGATTAATTTCATATTCTGATATCTACAGGCATTAATTATTTTAAAAATCGTTAACAATTTAATGGTGATTGTATCTGTGAAAGCTTTCCTTGTATTTATGTTACGCCTACACGTAACACGTCAACTTAATATACATGAACGATTACGAGTTTACCTTAGTCGTAAACGAGAGCGAGGATCCGGTGACACGACATGCTACTCAAATCCGATTATCCCAACCCCCATATAGTAAGAATAAAAAGACGTGATATGAAGTAGAACATGTATTCTACAAGCATCCAGAAAGTACGAGGTCCGAATGCAGAAGAGAATCAGGATACGGGACCGAGCCCTGGTCATGGTCATAAAATGTTACAGATAATGCGTATTTATACATTTTGGTCGAATAGGAAACAGCATCGGATTCTGTGGCATTGACAGCTAAGTCGACCAATAGGAAGTAACATTTGAAGTGACATTGATAGTCAGGACAACCAATAAGAGACAACATTGAAGTATTTGACTTAGACAGTTAAAACGACCATAAATTTAACCAATAGAAGTTGACCAATAATTCTCTTAGGATATTGGATGAATATCCTAACAATTTATTTCATACTTGATTGTTAGTTACCATGTAAATAAGATTCGACTGCCACTGTTTTCACATCGACATGCAACGATTGTTCCTGTTTGGTGGTTTTACATAGCTGACTTATCTATATATATCGACCTTAGTTTTTTGTGGTCTTGATAAAAAAACCTATCATTATCACTAGCCTTTAAGTTGTCATGTTATGAGATTCACTTTCCATGTTCAATCTTCGTGGGCGTAAATGGTTATTTTCATATCTCCATATATTGTTTGTCATTATCAAACAACATTTGAGTGTAATATATTATATATTATTTTATACAATCATTTATTGTCATGATGTTTGGATAACTTTAGCTATACTTGCTTACTTACTCCTGTTACCCCCAATGGAGCATAGGCCGCCCACCAGTCTTCTCCAACCAACTCTGTCCTGGGCTTCCCTCTCCAATTCTGTCCAATGTTTGTTCATTCCTTTCATATCTTTCTCTATTTCTCGGCGTAATGTGTTCCTTGACCCTCCTCTTTTCCTTTCACCCTGAGGGTTCCACGTGAGGGCTTGTCTCGTGACGCAGTTAGGTGCTTTTCGTAGTGTGTGTCCTATCCACTTCCACTGCTTCTTCCTGATTTCCTCCTCCATTGGAATCTGGTTTGTTCTCTCCCACAGTACGTTGTTGCTGATGGTGTCTGTCCAACGAATCCGAAGTATTTTGCGTAGACAGCTGTTAATAAACACTTGTATCTTCTGGATGATGGCTTTCGTAGTTCTCCATGTTTCCGCTCCATACAGTAGAACTGTCTTGACATTTGTATTAACTTTAGCTATAACCATCACCTTATTTATTAGTAACAATATTTTTGTAGCTTCAGCTTTTTTAAAATATTTAAGTATGCATAAAATCTGCAGTTCCTGTATTTTCATTCAATAATTTATTTTATTAAAACATGAATTACTTTTATACACCAAGCAGTATAATGTGTTTCTTTCATATGATTTATCTAGGTTCATTTGATTTGTCTGAAGTTATGAAATCGGTATATTTCTTCAGTTGATTAGATTATCTACGTCATAACTAGATACAAATAGCTCACTGTACATAGAGTTGATTGAAATATTTCCTACTTTATAAGTGAATAAATATTTGTAAATACACATTATATTTTATTTGTTGCAATCTTTTCGTTTTTGAAAGACAAAAGTTGATAAGAACAAAATCATTAATTAATATCTACAAGCGTAGTCGGTTTCGTAACTAATCATTTTCGTTTTCTACACAAAATAAGTTTTGTAATGAACATATCTGGGAAGCTCGAAACTTACGATATAAGCATTAAAACTAGTCCATAAAAGAGGTCACTATAATATCATATATATGACCAATCACTAATTAATCCTACAAAATACAAGTGAAAAGAATTAATGGTCAACTTTTGAGAAAATTGAGCATCTTATGAACCATAGTCAGATGCAACAAAGAACTTCGTACGTAAGTACATCAGTTCATGTTGCCATACCACATAAGCACAGAGATGTAATTGTCAATTCAAATCCAATAGTAGTAGAAGTAGTAAAGGTATTAGAAGTAATCAGAGAGGTTAGGAGGACATAGATGGAGTTGAATCATGACTGCGTCAGCTGCGCGCTGATTGGCTAATTTTCTATCCAATCAGCGCCTGATCGATTCTTGGGGAACATGGCAGGAAATTCTCGTACTGTTGGCAGCATGCTGATTGGCTAAATCTAATGCAGTCGGTCACGTGAATTTCTATCCAGAAGCTTCTCATGTAGATGCTACAAAGAAACTAACGTTGTATCTATTTTTGCCTTCGCTTTGGCTCCTTTTTTCCATTTAACCTCGCTATTTGGAATACAATCTTTTCCTGTTCAACCGTGTTTTTGATTCTTTGGAACTTGCCCAGTGTTTTGTGGTCAGAGAATATTAAGCAATAGGATTTAGCTGGGAACCATTTAAGCAAGCGTTACAATAAAGATATTATTCAAGAAGTATGAAGAATTCAGAAGATTAGGATTTGAGAAAACACAAAGAATAAATGCACCGGCGCCATTGAAAACTGTTCTGAGCCATAACATTCAGGGTCTCTAACCATCACTTAACTTCATCTTGCGGATCCCAACCAGGTAGTCTACACCTGCTGAAATAACTCAGTCCAGTTGTCAGTAGATTCATCGATTTGTGCCATGTTTTGGTCTGGCCGCCCCTAACTTCCAACCTACTCCTACACTACAAAACAAAGCTCGTCGAGGCAGTCGGTGGTTAGGCATACGCAACACATGTTACAACCACCTCAACTGATGAAGTTTCAATACTTCATCTATTGATCTGCCATCCTTACCTAACACCCGATTCCTAATAACAGCGTTGCTCACTCGGGTGTCCCACGATATACGAGCAATGCTTCGAAGACCAATAACCTACGAATATCTTCTACTCTCACTGGCCATGTTTCACAGCCATAAAGTAGGACGGAGCGAACTACTGCACAGCACACTCGTCCTTTAGTCAGCAAACGGATATCTCGCCTACGCCATAGGTGACGCAGGTTGGAAAAGCCAATCGAGCCTTCTGTATCCGAGCTGAGATTTCGTCAGTCACCAGGCCATCAGCACTGATGAGACTCCCCAGATAAGTGAAGCGGTCTACACGTTCGACTACTTCACTCCCTATCACTAGTTCAGGTGCCGATGCAACCTAATCTTGAAGCAACATTTTGCATTTGGAGGGGGAGAACCGCATCCCGAACATGCATGCATTGTTGCTTAGGGTAGTCAGAAGACTGCATATTTTCAGCATCTTCACCAAGTAGGACAATGTCATTGGCATATTCTAGGTCAATAAGCGAGCCTCCTAGTAGAAGGTCTACTCCTGAAAATTCAGACGAGGATAAGGTTATTTCTAGGAGCATGTCTTTGATAAAATTAAACCTTATGAACTATAAGAACAAACGAGAACTATGAAAAATAAACCGAATGATCGTAGACTTCAACAGCTAATAATTATACATTAAAATACAGCCTATTAAACTCCGATTTAATGCGACTGAGAACTACTTATTAAAAGTGACGTGTAGGAACCCACAGTCCTTTGCCATCTTACTCTGCGTATGATCTTTTAGCGACTGAACCTTATTTTGGTAGACCTTTAGACTGTAATTTCTGACCAAAGAAAGTATGAGCAATATTTGATTGCCAAGTTGCTTTTTCTGGTAACAAGATTTACCAGTAAAACCGACTGTTTTATAAATATTTTTTATTATACCCTGAGTGAACTAAGTATTCATCCGTTTATCAATCTAGAAGTATACTGATTAATGATTCACTGTGGCTGTAAAACATAAACCCTAAAGATGAAGGGTAGGCGCGCGCTACAATCATTGTATCATGAAGGATACGATAGTCACCGAACGATTAGTAGTCAACATAGGCGTATGACACTATTGTGTTGTTACTCATGTTCTAAAATGTTTCGGAAATCGTGTAAGACCAAGAACTTTATCACAAAAACCCATATATTGCTTCACGTGTCTGCTTAACTGGGCATAACTTACAGTGTTACGTAGACCTAAGTAAGAAGAGACGCTACAATGGGCACTACCGGCTTTTGATGAAGTTACACAAAGGATGAAATACCACACTGAATGATCACCAGCCGTTGGACATTTAAAACAGGGTCATATCCCATCTATTTATCAGTACTTCTAGGATAGTTCGACGCCTCGAAAAATAACTGGTAGAGTAAGCATATCCTTCTTCATCGACGGAGCTGTAGGACTTACGTGCCCTCCTTGTGCCATGTATGTAACACGCTTAAACTACTCATACCCGAAAGTAAGCGACGCTAAGTCCTTCGGTATTCGCAATCGTAAGGATGACCAGGATAAGACACCAGTCGGTGTACGGCCTTTCCGACCGAAGTCTTGGGGGCACTAAATGATCTCAGCACCTAGTGAATATGATTTGGTAAACTTAAGCATATACAACCCACTTTCACCAAACTGGATGCTCATCTGTCCTTTCACTTTACATGGCAACAAGTACATGTGCCGAGTTATGAAAATTTGCTGACAAAAATTGCTTAGAACGTAGCAGACGCCGATTGAAATTACAGTTCTTCGGTTGGTTAAAACCTTGGTACGAGTTTTCTGATAAAATACGCAATCTCATTTTTCCCGTCGGAAGCCTTACGATTCAAGAAATCGAAGGATATTTTCAGCGCAATAGAGTTGCGTCTTATTAGATCACTCCATATCTTAATATCAATCAGCTTTACTACAACTCACCTTGTTTAGATTAATGAGGTAGTCTGGAAATCAAGTAGCCATACGACTGTATTTCGCTGCTTCCGCTTACTAACCGTTATCTGGCACTAAAATCGCTGTGAGAAGAACATAGACACCGAATATCCCCCGGATTTATCTCCTAGTAAGAAGTATACGATTGCGTAGAGCGTTTTATTGAACAAAATCACATGTATCCCGATGCGGAATTTGACAAATAACCGTTACTTGAATATAGGGCAAATTAGTCACAGAAACTAATCAAAAGTATGTACAAATTTGGAGGAATAATTAGGAGCAAAAGCGTTCAATTACACCTAATGCCGCTTTGAATGCTTATGCCTTGACGTGTGGTTCTTCGGCTTCGAGGATTTGTCTGAAAGCTTTGAAAGTTTCTTTAATAGCTTTTCACGTTGTTTCTCAGTAAGGTTTTTTAGAAATTCCATTGCTAAAGAATCTTCTTCCTCAGATGCTTGACTCGAGACGTTGGTCAATGCTTTTTTCGCCTTGCTAAATATAGATGTAAAACGGTCTAACTCCGTTCCCCGCTTTAAAGTAAGACCTTCCTTTTGGAGATTTTTTTGAACTTGGTCAAGACCAATCATATCGCTGGTTGTTGGTTCCTTAGTAAAAGACTGGCCAAAAAGTGGACAAACTCGGTCTGTATTCAAGTGCCCCCACTGTTTACAACGCATGCATCGTACGTTCCGAACTTCGATAGCGAAGGGTTGATCAATGATTTCTGACGAATTTTTGCAATAGTCCTCCCTTGGGGCGCAATATTTCCTTTGCCATTCAAACTTTACCTCTTTGTCGTCAGGCTGCTCCTGCAGAACGTGTTGAAATATATTTTGAGACTTACCTTTTCCATCAAAGCAGGTTGGTCATACATCCAAGCCAAGCCAAGCCTAGCTTTCTCATCGCCAAGAAGGACGCGATTTTCAAGGGTTTCCTGCTCCCGACGATATTGATTTAGTTTCTCTAGTTCCTTTTTCGTATCGTACTCATTGGCCTGTTCAGCCATCCACTTTCTTTTTATGTTCTCGAAGTTTGTTGGGTGGAAAAACTTCTTGCACATATAATTATTGTATCCTTTCCCCATTATTGACAATGGATGACGCCCAAAACGTACAGTCTGCTTTAAAACGCGCCACCACCAATAAATCGATGTCCAATATGTTTACCACAAACCAGTAAATACCGATTGATTCCTCAACTATGGATTCTTGTTTCTTGTTACAGTTCTAGGTATTTTTTATGTCAGAAGGATGGTTGTCTAGCCACTTCACCTTACTAATTTAAGTCAGTTGGCAGTTGTTTATAAATTTGCATGTCCGGTGATTTGAATGAGATTCTTCAGGAGAGTAGAGTTTCTGGATACCAGTAGTCCTCATGTGACCAAGTTTGAGATCTGTTAGTTGCAATCTAGAGAATAAAGGGAAAGAATTTTCAGTTCTAATTCGACGGTTTTAGGAGTTGATAAATAAATGAATAAATCAGTATATTAATTGGTAATTAAGAGGTAAGAAGTTTTGGCAAGATGGGGCAAACAGAGATAATGAGCTAGATGGAAAAAGGTAATGATCTGAGGGTGATGACAACCATTAGGTTCTGAAATATGAGTCACGCCACTTTCATAAAATAACATTTTTTTCTAGAATTATTTTGAGAAAGGTAGGTGAAAACAGACTGTCTAAATTAATCAGCAGTCATCAGTCTGCATTTGGTAGAATTTTGAGGAGACTGCCAGATATGATTTAGAGGCACGGCTCGACTGTAACTAAGAGGAGTCAACAAAAAACTACGAATTTGGTAAGTGTAAATGCAGTTTCATCTACTCATTGAAACCCTAATGCACCTAGCTACAGTCACTATGTACCTACTGAGAAGACCAAAATAGTCTCTTATTTTGTTTTCGGTAAACAGCTTTCAAAACTTAGGTGTTCGAATACATCGCTTCTTAAGCATATCACAATGAAAACAAGGCTTGATCAATCTCTGATAGGTATTATTATGGTAAGGCACATAACTGTTAGAAAGACCAAAGAAATTCTGATCTATCCTTAAATGGTTCGTACAGAAGTTCATCTGAAGTATGCTAAGTCGCTGAAGCAATGTTTAAAGCAGAATCTCACCCCACTTCTATCAAACTACCTAGGGGTTATTCAGATATTCATTCAACCGAAATCGCGACCGAGCTGATGATATTTTGTCAATGGCAAGTATTCTAAACAAAATTCAAGGCCTGTCTTAGGCTGCCTCAAGAGTCCATATCCTAGTCAATCATTCATGGTTAGAATCTATGGTGTCAAACAAAACACCGGATTTCAAACTAAAGTCCTCGGATGTCGTAATCGGGTTACAATAATTGTTGACGACAAGTCATGGCGTTCCTATATTTTTCGCGAATCTTATGGTAAAGTTATTAGTTACGATTTAAGATACTTCTGGTCGTATCAGCTTTGGTCGTGTCACTAGTCATAATTGGAAAACAAATGGTAAAAATTGTGAACTTTTCATCGCTTATCTAGGTAGATGGATGAATATCCCTATGAACAGTTTGATTCGAGAAATGATCTCAAATTTTTCAGGCATTCATGATTAAGATAATAGCTTCATCTAAAACCTGACAGCAGATACTTTGGGAGTGTTTTCGTCAGAGCCGATACATTTCATACACTTGAATGTGATTAAGAAACTTATTTCCTTATGGAGTGACCTATTTATCAAATGAATCTGCTGTGGCATTTCGGTATCAGAAAACGCAGCAACCAGTTGCGATAGAAAACACCTGAGTCACAACTGCTTCTATGTGCCTATGCAGATGTTGTTAACGAATACGTTGTATTCACAGTGAACTTTATACTGGTTGGTCTCACACAGATTTTGAAATTGATCGGTGGTCCGTCTTATAATTTTAATGAAATAAAAGTGTACGTGATAAGCTAATTCAACGTTGAAGGATAAGAATGTTCGCAACATCGAGGTTCTTTCTTTCCGACTTTCATCAAAAACACAAGAACTGGGGATAATAGGAGCTTCACGGCAGAAATTTAAATCCAATGTCAAATTTGTAAGTTGTAACAGATGTCTTTAAAGTTTAAGGTGGCTAAAGTTTTAGAGATCATTGTTAAAAGTGTATCAAGGAGGTTTTAGTGTAGGCACTGATGTCAGAATTGGCAGTCACTTTCATTACAATTGGAATTAACCACGAAAATGGCCACTTCAGATTCTGAAATCCGGTTCAAGTTAAGTCAAGATTACAATAAACAATTTTCATTGGATGGCCTATGTTCACTTTTTAAACGAAGTAACTGGAGGTTGATTTCAGGAGTCAGGCTTTCTTAAACGATTTGATGTATGAGGTAAATGGGCGCCAATGGCGATCCGAAAACATGTGAGCTTGATATAGTTTAAATGTATCACTGAATAACTGTTAATCTTTTCCTAATAAAGTTATCATCTTATCTACGAGGTATTTTTGTTGTTCCTCTTTAGTTGGCTTCGTGAGAGATCGTCAGAGCTATTCATGCTATAGGCTCAGTACTCATAACCCTTTATTTTCCATGTACTTGTAAAATGTTTATATAAGCCCTGACAGTACTCATTCACAAGTAAGGTGATTTTCATTAAATCGGGTATTTCTTTGTTAACTCTTATCATTGAAGCTTATTCACATTATGTTTATGTCTAATAGTTGAAAGACTGACATTTTTCTATTTATGAGATAAAACACTACTGACAAAGGTTTTACTGGAACATGCGAACTAAAACGACAGCAATATCTCGATTGCTAAAAACAAGAAGAAAAATACTCCTCAGGAATATGTACTCATTTTATCGAATTTGATATACAATATTATTTATAACACATTTTTCCTGTACCTCTGGTGTAAGATGTTACGGGTTCTGATAAAACTGTAATACCTCTGTACCTTGACTAAATGATTTTTACGAGTTTATATACTGTCCTCAGGGAATAGCCCACTTATTTGTTCTATGCAGAAAGATGTAGCAAGCTTTGTCTATTCACAGTTATTGCTTTGCTATTCTAACTCGTTATCCGTTTCCAAACAACCACAATATTCATTACTTTCCCGTCTACTTCTATACCCAAAAAGCCTATAATTTGTCTGGCGAATATGCGATTCACAGTGCTCCATAAGTCTCTAACTCATAGTTCAGGAGTTGAAACAACCTGATAAGCTTGCAAGGTGGAACTTTCAACAGGGCTTGAAATAAAGGACCTCAAGTGGAAGCTTATATAATATTTTATAATCACTTTAAATAGGCCAAAAAACATACAAGGAGGGAGGAAGGAGAGACTGATCAGCAAACATTGATGGCGGGGGCGATGACCTCAGTTAACCCATGTTTCTGGATCAGAATAGTTAATTTGCAAAGGTATCGTTGATAACATCAACCGATTAGGCGATCAATCACGGCTCCTGACATTGATGTTACATGCTTGGTAACCTTTAGACCCATATATCTAACCTTATGCTGGGATCGCTATTATGCCACATGACCTGCAACACGCTTACTCAGGCATTTACAGTAAAACTTCAAAGTTGGCGTTTGACGACAAAATATAAACAATGAATAATATAGTTATTAACGTCTTTCCTCTTCCTGATGAACATTCAGCTTTAATGTACGGACATCCAGATATTTACTTCATCTTCTCTTCTATTTTTCGAACTTTATCCACTGTTAAACACATCGACTGATTGTTCATTATTGCTATGCTCACTAATTTGAAGACAATCTAACTATCTGATTCCGGCACTCTTTATGAATTCTGTCACCAGAAAAGCCCTGACTCGGAAACCTCAAGGCGCAAGGGAAAGAGGAATACCATAGAATACATAACTGTGAGAAATGGAGACAGACGTGAGAAGAATGAGGTACAATTGGACAGAACTAGAACGAACGGCCTAGGACTGAGTAGGTTGGTCGGCAGCCTATGCTGCACTAAGGATAATAGACGTAATTAAGGAAAGTAAGTAATAGGTTTCGTTTGCTCTGTCTGCTCTGGTCACACATCAAAACTTCCTAATCGATCATATTTTCTTTATCTCTTTTGTTTCTTTTCGGAACTTCATCATCTGTAAACAACCATGATGCTTCCACGCAAAATCCATCTTTCTTTAGCGCTCGCCAAGTTTAAAGCTTATACAAATCACCTTCCAGTCGACGATTTCTAACAAAGTCACTCCTGAATTTTGTATACCACCTAAGAAATCTACTGTGTGCCTAACCTGTTAGTAATCATTCGTTAAAAATGTGGCCGTACCAAGCTATTCATGTCGGTGACATGAATAGCTCGCTGTCGAAAAAAGTCTACCACAGATAATCTATATCGATAAGCTATCATAAATAAATAACTCGATCTAGCCTTTAAATTGAGATGCATCATGTAAAGCAATGTTATTTGTGAGTAAATATTATTATATATGCAGTAGCAGCCACAATAATAGGCTTAATATATATAAGTCATATCTTGGTTTCACATACGTAGAATTTATCGTGTACTATTAACAAACATAAAAAAATAACCGACATACAAGTCAACTAAAAAAAGTAACATTTTATTGAGGATAACAAAAAATAGTTAAGTTTACTCAAGTTTATTAACAAGTTATGCTGAGGTCTATAGAATAAACGGATGAGGAACATTTTAACTTGTGAATGGCACAGATATTAATTGGTAAAAAAACATAAACCACCTTTGCTGTAAGACTCAGTTATATTACAAAAATACAAACCATTTGAGAAAAATCATTGTCACCTGACAATACTAGAAACTTGATAAACTTGACGGATAACTGACAATAATTAGTTCAGTGTGTCTACAGCTCTGAATGGCTTATTCCGAAATCACTGTTCTGATAACATAGCGATCCACTTAGTCATATTATTGTTCATGGACGCATTATTGGCAATAACTGTAAATATATACTGAATGTGATTATTGTGTGGAACCGTTGGGAATGTTGGATTCCCACAACTCACTTGGAAAAGGTCCTTATTTCGTAATTTTATTTTGGTATTTTGAATTTTATGTTCCTGCTCCGAAGACGTTCATTTTGACCTTCAGCT